CTGGAGACACAGATTTGACACCTACCTTCTAATCTGCTGGTACTGGCGCTGCTTTTTTTTTTTTTTTTTTTCTGGCTGTGCTGTGAAGGCAGGAAATTCAATCTCAAGATTACATTGATAGCTGCCCGTAGAGCCCACCTTACTTGTCAAGATGATAGGACAGTTTCTAGGCTCGTTATTCTTTTCTTCAAAGTCTCTCGTTTCCCCCCAATGGCCAGCAGTTCACGTGTCCCACAGGGTCTAATATTTTATGCGGCAGTTGTACCTTGCACTTCTGGTTCCCAGAACTGACTTTTTGCTCAAATCACTCATTCCGAGAATCATTGTGATCCACCAAAACCCTTTGTCTTTGCTAGATCTGCCCCTGTGTCAAGACACTGACCAGGGTTGGGAGGGATGGGATGGTCACTTTATTGGGTCTTTCTAGCTTCTGAATAGGAAGGTTGTTGCTTCTGCAATGATCTTCCAATTGCTTTGGCTTTCAATTCTGCTTACCCCAGTGCCTGGCACATAGTGTTATAGTTTGCCCATGATGTACTTAAAGCAGGGATGTTTGCCGAATGTGAGGTAAAAACAACTAAGCACCCCAATATTAAGTGCTGTGGAGCTTATAAGAAGAGAAAAAAACCAATATGCTCAGGAAAGGGCTCCATAGAGTAAGAAGTGAGTTTGATCTTGAAGGCAGATCCAACTTGGGTGTCTAGATCAATCTCTGATGACCTGAATGAAGGTCAGACTCTCAAAGTTGAAGTCCCAAGGCTTGGGTAGAACAAGACTACTGGTCCTCATGAGATAGGCGGTCAGAACACAAGGCTGAGGACATGAACACACTGCACTCAAAGCATTGTCATGCTACATGGCTATATATGACGTGGCTCAGAAATGTAGAGCTTAATCTGTAACTGGCTGTTTCTCCTTCAACCTCCCCTAGTCTTCCTGTCAGTGGCTGCACCCCATTCAGCAGTTTTCAATAAGGGTCAGATTTCCATCAGATGCCACAGGAAAAATGGTAAGTGGATCATGTCTCTGATCACAGGAAAAGAATAAGAGCCCTTTTCCCACAATGTTGGCTTGTCTCAATTCCACTCCCACCCCAAATGGAGTTTAGCCTTGATTCCTGTGCATATATCTATAATATACGATAGGATTTGAGATTCTGCCTTATTTAAGCTTCAGCATAGAATTCATCACATGGTTCTGAGAAAGCATATGATTGTTGGGCTAGATCTCAATGACTGGTGTCAGTAATTCTGGGATGTGGTGTGAAGATGCCATCCAGAGCCACCTGCACTGGAGGGAACAGGATGTCAGTGAAACACACATGGGCAGAGCCAATAAAAACAGAGAAAGGAGACTTTCAAGTTCCCTATTAACCACTGAATGTGGGGAAAACCAAGACAACCTCATGGTCACCTTGACGCTTGTCTTTCCAATTCAAGCCAGCCCTGCCTTCTCCAGCTAGTGGAGTGCAGCTAGCGGAGTGCAGAAGGGAGCCTGGTGGTGTTAAGTATAAGGCCAGTATTCTTCTCCTTGAATGCCACATTAGGAATAAAATTTCAAAAGCCCATAATGATAAAGGTCTGAGTCACAATCCCTCTCAGTATAGTTAATTAACACTTTTTACTGCCTGATGTAGCAGTTGGAGGCCCTTGCTGTAAATGATAAAAGGTAGATAAGCAGCTTAACATTGCCTATGGCAGATGCAAGGTCTGAGAAGGGTCCAAGGCCCAAAGGAGGAAAAGAGAGGTTGGCAAGCCATGAGGCTGGCAATGCCAGGGGTGTGGAGAATTAGGTTCTGTGCCGCCATATGGGAGTGGAGGGCTCTGCCAGCCAGACCCAGAGGAATCCAGTGGTCCCTCATGCAGTCGTGGAAGTAGTGATAAGGGTTTGCAGAGAGAGCAGAAAAATACACTCACCAATATATATTTTCAGAAGAATCACTTTCCTCCTATAGGACTGAATTTCCACGTCTGTAAAATGGAAACAGGGTGTACTAGATCAGTGTTGTCAAATCTGAGATTTCATAACCATACCCCAGTCCCCTAGTTTCAGAAATAAGGCATTAGAAGTTAAATATTGTCACTTTTAGAAGATCAATAGGTGCCAGTTTAATCATAAACATAATCTCAGTTATCATTCAGATAAAACAGAATATGCTTACATTAATTACTGGAAAATTCCATCAAAATGAAAACTAAAAGTTTTTTAAAATATATTTCCCCAACTGGAGGTCATTATGTTAAAAAAGATAAGCCAGGCACAGAAAGACAAATACCACATGTTCTCACTCATATGTGGGAGCTAAAGAGTTGATCTCATGGAGGTAAAGAACAGAATGCTAGTTATCAGGGATGGGAGGGGTCGAGGGGATGAAAAAAAGATTGGTTAATGGGTACACACATACAGTTAGAGGGAATAAGTTCTAGTGTTCAATAGCACAGTAGGATGACTATAGTTAACAATTTATTGTATATTTCAAAATAGCTAGAAGATTTGAAATGCTCTCAACACAAAGAAATGATATTTGATGTGATAGAAATTCCAATTATCCTGATTTGATCATAACACGTTCTATACATGTATCAAAATATCACATGTACCCCATAAATATGTACAATTATCAATAAAAATTGTTTTAAAAAAAAGAAAAAATGTATATTCCACTAGAATTCCTAAGAATACCTCTGTGGAGCATGGTTTTAAAAACACTAAATCATCCTGAAGACCCCTTGCATTCATTCATTCAACAATGTTTCTGAGGGTGCACAGTGTGCCAGCACTGTGTATTTGGAAGACTGTGATTGCTCGAGCTAAGGAGAGAGAAGTGAAGTGTTTTGGTTGGTGACACTGACTAACTTGTGCAGAAAGGAGTTTACTGGAGAGCTGTCAGGTAGCTCACAGATTCAATGAGAAGGCTGAAAAGCAGCTTCGGAAGGTGCCGTCCATGCCTATGGAATAATCTGGTTAGAGGACCTAGGACGCTGGACATTGAATGGCACCACTGCTAGATGAATGCTGAAGTCTCCCTGCTTCACTAGTTCCAGCTCAGTCTCAGTTGTGAATCTACAATTGCCTGGGCTTGGTTCATGTGCCAGAGCTCTAGCTCCATTGAGGTGGGGGTGGGAAATAAATATCTGGCTTTTATGGCTTCAGTGATGGGAGCTGGGGAGTCAAGTCCTAATCAAGATTAACACAAGGGTCTGATTCCTCAAACATGGAGAGAAGTTCAGATATTGGACACACACACACCCTCCCCCACCCAAATACCAGAAAAATTCACACATTTTCAGTTTCCTATTTTCAGAAACTACTCATCCCAAACCGACTTTTTCCTATTTCTTTTCTGTTTTTCAAATGAGGATCAGAGGTATTAAATTAACTTGCCCAGGGTTACATCTACTAAGTAGGAAAGCTGAGTTGAAAATCCTGGGTATTCTTTTTCTTTTTTTAAAACTTTCGATTATGGAAATTTTCAAAAATAAAAAGTAGAAAGACAAATATAACAAACCCCTAGTCACCACCAACCAGCTTCAGCAATTATCAACTCATGGCCAATCTGATTTTTCTACACTCCCACCTACGTTCACACAACCCCACTGCATTATTACGAAGCAAATCCCAAATACCATATTATTTCGACTGAAAATATTTCTGTAAAGTCCCCTAAAGGATATGGACTTTTTTATAAAACACATATGCACAATACCACATCACACTAAAAAAATTAATAATAGTTCTCCAATATCATTAAATATCCAATGTTCAAATTTCCCCAATTGTCTTGTTAAATTTTTTATTACAGTTGGTTTGTTTGAATCAAAGTTCAAATAAGGTCCATACTCTACAAGTGGTAAGTGTTCCTGTTACAATTTTTTTGTTGGAAAAATTGAGTCATTTGTCTTTTAGGGTTTCCCACACTCCAGATTTTGCAGCTTACATCCCAGTGGTTTCACTTAATGTGTTCCTCTGTATCATTAAGTCATTCTAACTTGAAAAAGCCAGACTACAATCCTGTGCTGCCCTCCTCAAGGGACCGTAGTGTTATTAAAAGTTCTATATGTGATAGGTGATCTTTATTGATAAATTCAGAAGCAGATTTCATTTCCTTTAAGTTTCCATGGTCCCACTGCTCTCTCAGATGCTCCTTCTGTAGGTTTCACATGCTGATGGTTTCTTCTTTCTTCATTGCATTCTCTTTCCCTTTCAGGAACATTCAGAAGATAAGCAATATCCCCAGAAATGTCAGGATCCTCTCTTGTCACATCTGCAGGCCCTCTCTCCTGGTCAGGCACACATGGAGCTGAAGTGCTACTACAGCATCTGCCAAGATACTGCCTTGGGGGGACCAGGCTTCCAAGAAAGAGGAGAAGAGTTGAAAAGGGAAGAGAGGAGTCGTAACTCCCTAAGCCCCACCATAGCACCCAAGCTCAGCTTAGAGGTTCGAAAACTCAGCAATGGCAGGTTATCAACGTCCCTGAAGCTGGGGCCCCTGCAACCTCGGGGAGTACCACTTCGGGAGAAGAAGGCAACCCAGATGGTGGTCATTGTGCTTGGTAAATTTGGGTTGGCTTGCATTGGATTGGGTTGGATTAAGTGGGGTTAGGTTAAATTAGGTGGCGCTGGCAGAGGATGATAATGCAGCCACATTTGACAGAAATTGGAAATTCACTGACTACAATATTTATAAAATGTTTACAATGTAAACATTTTGTGTATAAATATTAACTCTGTGCATAAATATTTTTATAAAAATATTTTTGTTTTGTGTATAAATATTAACTCTGATAGAAATTCAAAAGATCTAGATTGAAATTTACAAAGCTGAACAAGCCACCTAATTGAGCTATATTTTGCTATCATATGGAATTATAATGCATGAATCAAATAATAAGACAATGATTCAATAAAAGTGTCTGGCATATATCGAATAGTTAATAAATGTTTACTTATTTTAAAATATAAAGTGGGAAAAAAACAGGAATGCAAAACACTACTGTGATACAGTGTGATAACATCTAGATTATTTTAAATACAGCGTAAAAAGTTCACCAAGATGTCAAAAGTGATTGTCTCTGAGTGGTGGGTAATTATTTTCCTTCTTTCTACTTTTCTGTATTTACCAAGTTTTCTGTAATGCATACAATCAGAGTTAATTTTTATAGCAGGAAAACATAAACTTTATTTAAATAAAGAAATTAAAAATTTATAAATCACAGATACCACATAATTAATGAAGGAAATTCATTCTGTTCAGTGTCACTGACGAACCCCAACTTTTTCATATATTAGAGATTTTACTAAAACTCATAGGTGTAATCTCAAGATCAGGAACTGTGTCAGTCATGCCTTTAAGGTCTTCTTCCCTATCAAAGTCTAGGATCACATCTTGCATGGGTAGGCGTTAAATAAATGTCTGAATTGAATTGAAAAGAAAAAAAAAACAAAACTAGTAAAAACCTACTCAAAGATCAAACAAGAAAATTGGTTTGGTAACAAAGGCCTGAGGGGAAGCAGAGACTTTAGCAGGCAATTTTCTCATCTAAAAAAAAGTTTGGCTCATCACTCCTACTTCATAGGGTTGTTATATTAATAAAAAGTAAATAGGTATGTAAAACTTCCAGCATAGTGGCTGGCATAAAGTAGACAAGCATGAGTCATTCTCATGTCATAATGAAAGGAGTGAGCAAATCCTTTAACCTGGTTTCTCTCTTCCATTGCAACCTAGGGGCCTTCATTGTCTGCTGGCTGCCCTTCTTCTTGACTCACATTCTCAATACCCACTGCCAAGCATGCCACGTGTCCCCAGAGCTTTACAGAGCTACGACATGGCTGGGCTACGTGAACAGCGCCCTCAACCCCGTGATCTATACCACCTTCAATGCTGAGTTCCGCAAAGCCTTCCTCAAGATCCTGTCTTGCTGAAGGAGGAGAGGCGGGAATACTCCTTGTGCCCATTTCTAGCTGCCAGGCTGTGGGGCCACTGGCCAGCACCTGCTCAGAAAGACTGTGATGTCCTCTGGCATGTGCTAGGAAGAAGATTCCTGGAGCCAGGACATCCCCGAGTGGCCGATGTAACCAAAAGCTTCTTCCTAAACAGAATGTTCTACCTTTCCAGCTAAAATCTGACTTCATTCTAACAGTCTTCAAACGGTTGCAGAGCCCCTAAGTGGTAAGCAATAATTCAGAAAGGAGCTGATAAAACATGACTCACACAAAATTGTCATTGGAGGCATGATTCATTACAGTGAAGGAAAAATGAACAGAGCTCATCATTCTTAACCTGCCAGGGATCCTTGAAATCTCAGCCAGCAAACCATCTTACAGAACAACCAATCTCTCTTCTTTCAAACCTCTAATTAACTGTCATGCTAACCTTGTGCTTTTGTGGGCCCGCTCCCTCTTGATCATCCCTTTCCTTCACTGTATCTGGAAATATAAATGGCAAGGCCAAAACTTCCACCTCGCTGTAGAATCCAATCGGCTACCTTTGATGAGGTGAATTCCTCACCCCAAGGGGAACATTGTCCCACATTGGGACCAGAGCTTTGTTTCAAACCTTGCTACCCTTGTCCTTTAGGTCTAATGCAGTCCCTTTGATTCCATTCCCTTACTCTCTTGAGACAGTCTCAGAGTCTCAACTCCCAGAGTCATTCCAGAGCGGGATGCCAACTGCAGAAGAGATGACAATTCCCACTGTAGTATCACTGTTGCACCTTGTGGTTCAGAACATGCCATAGATGTGCTTTCCATAACACTATAAAGTTTTCCTACCCAGGGCATTTCCATTTTTCTGCTGAACAGAAACCCAATATAGTCATGTGCCACGTAATGACATTTTGGTCAACAACAGGCCACATATACGATGGTGGTCCCATAAGATTATAAGAGATGAAAAATTCCTATCGCCTAGTGATGTCATAGCCATTATAATGTTGTAGCACAATGCATTACTCAGGAGTCTGTGGTGATGCTGGTGTAAACAAACCTACTACCATGCCAGTCATATAAATGTCTACAATTATGTACAGTACATAATACTTAATAATAAATGACTATGTTACTGGTTTATGTATTTACTATACTTTTTATTTTTATTTTAGAGTATACTTCTTCTACTTATAAAAAAAAAAGTTAACTGTAAAACAGCCTCAGGCAGTTCCTTCAGGAAGTATCCCAGAAGAAGGCGTTGTTGTCATTAGGGATGACAGTTCCGTGTGTGTTATTGCCCCTGAAGGCTTTCATTCCGGTAGGACAAGGTGTAGAGATGGAAGACGGTGATGTCCACGATCCTGACCCTGTGTAAGCCTAGACTAACGTGCTTGTTTACGTCTTAATTTTTAACAAAAAAAGTTTAAGAAGGAAAAAGTAAAATAAAAAAGTTTTAAATAGAAAAAAGCTTATACAATAAGGATATAAAGAAAGAAAATATTTTTGTACAGCTGCACAATGTGTTTGTGTTTTAAGCTGTTATCATAAAAGAGTCAAGCAGTTAAAAAATTCAAAAGTTTATCACATAAAAAAGTTACAGTAAGCTATAATTAATTTATTATTGGAGAAAAACATTTTTTTAATAAATTTAGTGTAGCCTAAGAGGATAGTGTTTATAAAGTGTACGATAGCATACAGTAATGTCCTAGGCCCTCGCTTTCACTCACCACTTGCTCACTGACTCAGCCAGAGAAACTTTCAGTCCTGCAAGCCCCATTCAAGGTAAGCGCCCTATACAGGTGTACCACTGTTTTATCTTTTATACATTTTTACTGTACCTTTTCTGTGTTTAGATTTATTTAGACACATACTTACCACTGTGTTACAGTTGCCTATCCAGTACGGTAACATGCTGTACAGGTTTGTAGCCTAGGAGCAATAGGCTACCCCATACAGCCTAGGTGTGTAGCAGGTTATACCATCCAGGTTAGTGTAAGCACACCCTATGATGTTTGCACAACAAAGAAACATCATAACCACAAATTTCTCAGAATGTGTCCTCATTGTTAAGTGATACATTACTGTACTTTCAGACCCTGAGGCTCACTAAGTAGTGTCTGCAAAGTACCAGTCACTGCTTAGGGCTCTGGTTATATAAGAACAAATAAGAAAGAAGAAAGCCCCTGTCCTCAAGGTGCTCACTGCCTGCTCCTACATTTGCACACATACTTGTTAGAGGGTGGTAGACAACCACCGAGGCTGCCAGACAACCTCAGAACCAAGGGCACCAGGCAGGGTGGCTGTCCAACACCATCACATGGACAGTCTGTATAAAGTCCTAGGATAGATCCTAAACATCACCACTCCAACAACTAAGATTAAAGGTATAATAGAAATAATTTGTAAATGTCATTCAAAATTGCATTGAGAAGGAACTTGAATATTCTCACCATTTACCTTCTCACCCACAGAAGCTATTTTTTATTGATTGCAAAATCATGGTAAAAGTATAGATAATTTATGAAATATCATCTTAAACTTCAATAAATTTACTTTTAAGAGCTGTTAGTGTATAGACATGACAGATACCTGCTGCAATGCTGTTAAAACTTTAAAGTGCACAAGAACTTTAGAAGGAATTCAAGGCCTCCCTTGCCCTGTATTTATTCCTCTAACCCTTAAGTATATAATTAGTAAATATATACACTCCCGATGATTTACTTACCTGTTACTCCTGAATGCTTTTAATGCTAGCATTTTTTAAATGTCTATAATAATGTTTAGTGGGAAAATTCTGTCTGCCCACTAGTTCTTATACCTTGTGCCATCTAGGTCAATAGGTTTATGGTACAAGCAGAGCTGGGTCTTGAGACAATTAAAATCTGCAGAAGTAAAAATAAAAGACTTTTCCATGCAAAATAAACAGAAAAAAAGTGAGATGGTGGGGTAAAAGATCATAGAATTTCATGTCAAAAATCAGAATTCTACAGCCTGGGCAACATAGTGAAACCCCATCTCTTAAAAAAATGCAAAAACGTAGCCAGGCATGGTGGTACACACCTGTAATCCCAGCTACTCAGGAGGCTGAGGCAGGAGGATGACTTGAGCCCAGGAGTTCAAGGCTGCAGTGAGCTATGATTGCACCACTGCACCCCAGCCTGGGTGACAGAATGAAACCTTGTCTCAAAAAAAAAGAAGAATTCTAAAGGTGCAAACACAAGCAACATCAATATTATTAATAGTATATTTGTAAGGAAGAATAATAGCAAATACTTTGTTTCCTTTCTTTATATCACATATGCAACCCCTATGAGAAGCTTAGGGACAATAAACTCCATTTCAGAGATAAGGAAACTGAGGCAGAAGGAGGTTAAGAAATTTGCCCTAGCTCACACATAGTCAGTAAGTGGCATATCGGGATTCAAGTGTACATCTGTCTGATTACCAAGCCCGGGCAACTAGCCTCCCCCCAGACAGGTAAAGAGGAGGGGAGGGAAAGGTGGGAAGAAAAAGATGGAACAAAGATTCCTGGGGGTGTCTCACCCTACCCTAGCCACTTGCACTATGAACTTTTCTAAGAACCCAGCCCAAGACATTAATCTAACTCTGCTGCCATGTCTAATTTCTAAAACAGTACATGGGAAATTCATATCTATTTTTATAGAATCATGGAACAGTTTTTAGAGAGTATTTGGTTCTACCCTCTCCTTCATTTACAGAAAAGGGAACTGAAGCCCAAAACGGTTTTCTCCAAGTTGCTTGATGACACACAAGCATTCAAATGTGCTGAATCCTAGTTCAGTGCCTTTTCTACTTTGCTACACTCCCCAAGAGCCCCATAAAAACTACCAGCTCCATACAGACAAAAGGTGAAAGTCATATTGTCACCTCCACCATTAAACTGAGAAGCACTTCTTCCCTTAATCCTAGACACATCTTCTTCCCAGAATTTTCTTTTGATCCAAGAAGAGCTTCCCAGAGAAATCCCAAACACATCTTCCAAGCTATTGCTTCAACCTCTTCCTCATTCCACCTCCTCTACCTCCACAGTTCCTGCCATGAACCAGCACACTTAACCTCGGGGCTCTACTTTCAGAGCCAATGTGGCCAAAAATCCCAGGAGACATATTGGTCTAAATGATGCAAAGCAGAGTTCTTGGAGCAAATCTGTTCTGGAACCCAAAGAAGTCTCATAGTTGCTCACACTCTTTGGGTAAAATGCAAGTAATATGGAAATCCAAATAGATTACAACCATCATTCAACTCTAGACCTTAAATAAATATTTCCTTCTTCTAGGACACCATCCTCTAAAACTCCATCCATTACTCATTTACTAAATCAATCAGTTATTCAATGAATATTTATTGATCATCTTCCATGCACCAGGCACTGTGCTGGTGCTGGGGAAAGTCATCAAGGAAAACGCAGTCCCTGTCCTCAGAAACTTAAAGTCTAACAGAGAGGTAGAATGTATGTATGTAGTGATGGACCTGTTTGTTGCCGACAATAAAGAGTATCCATGGTGTTTGGAAGCCTTATATTCATCCTTGAGAAGGCTTCCTGGACAAGTATTGTCAGGATTGAGACATAATAAAAAAAAAAGTAAGAAGGGTGTTCCAGGCAGAATAGACCCCTGAAAAGCTAAAGATAAGAAGCAAGGAGTGTGCAAGAAATTTCAAACAATTCCATCTGGCTGTAGAGAAAAGGCCCTAGAGATAGGATAGGAAAGGAAAAGGCCTCATTTTTTAAGACCTCCTCCAGCTCTGCTCAGGTGGCAGCTGAGCCGATGGTGATACCTTTTACAGATGACCTCTAGATCTTGCCTCCTCGGCCCTCCGTGTGCCCACCTCTGCCACACCACAGAACATCCACTGCTGATTTATTTAACTGCTTCTGTCTGAGCAACACTGAATTTCAACAAATGCAGAATTTAATTTGAATTCCTCACTCTTTTCTCTAAAAGAGGAGGAATGGCTAGTTGAATGGATGTGGAATCAGAGATGGTTAAAATTAAGGCAGTTCTAGACTTTACGTCAGAAACCAAGGGACGTCA